TCCGGCGCGGATCGGTACCCACCCAGGTGCAGCGGCTTTAAGCCCAGTCTCCTCCCTTGCTCGCTGCGAGGGCAAGCAGAACGGGGGGCATCTGAACCCCAGGCGTCCGCGCTCGAGCCTGCACGGAGGACGCCTGCCAAAGGATTTGGAAACCTCTGAAGCCCCAGGTGTGGGTGGAGGATGGGTGCCGGTCGTAGGGCCACTTATGGTTCTGAACTCTTGAATTTGGAATTAGTTTGGGCTAATTTTGCCTGGGATACATAACATTAAAAAAAATCCTAGGGGATAAGGGGGCATTTTTGTGAACTGGTGATTATTTGCACTCTTAACACTTAGCACAGCATTCAGAGTGGTCACATAACAGGCCAGGCTGCCTGACATGCTGTAAGTGTGTTAGGGTCCTCTGGCAGCTTTGTCTTCATAATCAGGCTTTATTTTAGTTCTTTCTGGCACATTACCTCCCCTCCAATCTCAAGCCTTAGTTTTTTCCTAAGCACTCAACAGCCTTGCATGAAAGCAGAGTTGCACTGAACTAAATTACAGGCTGGATTTTTTTCCCAGGCATCTGCAAGATTTATGTTAACATTGCCCTGGATCCTGAACTCTGTACCTGAGCCCTCCAGTCCTGGAAGCTGTTTTCCTACTTACAGTAATGTACAAACCAGCCAATACCATTTAACTCGGGAGTGTTCATTGATCTGGCCAAGATGCGGACACGTCCTTGGAGGGAACGGTCCTCTCCCAATCGATTGCTCATTGGAGCTTTACCAGTCAGAACAGCAGCACTCCAGCGCTCCCCTGGAGCTGGTTTGTGCTTCCCGAGAGCTCCTCTGGGGCTGCACACAGCTCTCTTAAAGATCAGTTTAGACTACTGTGTTCTGGGTAAGAGAGAGAGGAGGAAAAAGGCATAGTGGGTAGATACTACGGTATTCTTGGAAAAGCTTTCAAAAATATTTTTAAACTGACATTTCAGGAGACTGGATTTCCTTATGCAACCAATGGTTTCTTGGGTCATTTAAAGCAAAAACAACTTTAGCCTGCTTGCTGCTTTCTATTGCTTATCATTTTGCAGTGCCCTTTACTTCCCCCAAAGCAGCATGAAATCTACTTCACTTGTTTGCTCTGCAATCACCCTCCGCCTCCTGCTGTTGCAATGTTAAGGTTTCAAACACTGCAGGCACTATTGGCACTATGCTTGGGCTGCATAGGTTGCTGTTTGCCAAGTCTACTTGTTTACTGATCTTGCCACCAGCTCAAATGGACTTTTTGGTGAATGGCCACTGCTTATCCATTCTCTGATACATTGCCATTACTACTAGTACCAGCTTAGGACAGCATTTTAGAGGTGCAGATTTTTACTGCTTAATACAATTGCTCATCTGCCCTGTGGCCAAGGATACACATAAATTTTGCTGTGTTTTGCCAAAGGACATACTGTAGAACTGATATAAAAAAGATACTCAGTTTCTTTTCCTTGAATCCATCCTGCTATTTAAATGAATTTGAGCTTAAAATAGTTTTCATTGCAACTATGTTCCAATACTGAACACAGCTACTGCTAATTTACAGGACCAGAGATGGGTTGTGAAGTTCGACTTCCTCCATTCCCCAGCCTCAGACAGTATTATAACATTATTTGCAACATCAAGGAAACCTTCTAACCTGATTGGATAAGATCAGAGGCTCTCTAGAGATCTAGTAAATCCAGAAGGTTGATCATATTTCTGCAAGCTAGTTCTTCAGGTGTACTGACCTGTGTACCACATGTACCACAGAGGGGGTTGATTTCTCACCCTGGCATGCCATTTTAATCCGTCACAAGCTGCATGTCACAGTTGCTTGAAGGCTTGCTCCAGAAAAGCTCAATATCCAATTATGTCAAGAACAGCAGACAAAAGGAGCATAGAAAGGCTGTGAAGTCTCTAGTGAATCAATGTTGTTATGCAGTAATGTTTCATGGGAGGTTAAGTGAGAGATGTTTCAACTGTTCCTTCCCCAGCATCTAAGCAATTTGGCCTCTGCCCAAGAATGGATGCTGGACCAAGTTCTACATTGCCAGGCCTCCCCACCCCCTCCAGGGCTAAAAAGGGTACTTTAGAAGCTAAAGGCCCATGTAGTTTCTCTCTACCACAAACACCAGAGTCGCAAGTCAGTATCTCAGAGGGGTTTCAAGATGCTGGCTTGTGCCCGCTGCATTTCAGATAAACCATGCCATGGGGATCAGTCATCAGCATCATAACCAGCCTGAATTAGAGCTGAAAGGCTTAATATATGCCATTATCTAGTGCCTTGAGCAATCTAACAGTAATGAATGCTGGCTACATCATACTTCAAAAGGGTGCTTCCTCTAGATTGTGAGCTCTCCAGTTCAAATACCTTATTATCCTCACTTTCCTAAAAAAAATCCTCAACTTGCTGCTGACACTTATACTTTTAATTAATAAGTAAAATTTGGACATTTTGCAAGGACAGGAATTCTAGATGAGCGAAAGGCAGAGCACTGCCAGTTACCTAAGAGTCAGCAGAGCACCATGTTCACCATACATGTCTTAATTCCACGTTAGCCTCGTGGGTGTGCACAGACCAAGTGACATTAGCAAGCCCCCTGTACTCACATGGGATACTGCTGCTGATGTGAGGGCTTAAATGACCGATATGCCACTCAAGATTTAGGACAACTTGTTTTGGAGTTATTCGGAGGGCTTGGCAGCACATTCCCAAGGCTACAAGCACAGGTGTGAGGAGGCCTCGGAAACAACCACCAGAACATTGTGTTACCAAGAAAGGTTTTATTTTTTTGCCAGTAGCTTTGTTAATTGCACAAAAATCTTTTTTTGTTTTGCCATTTAAACATTATCACACATCCTATTCTGAATGACAAACGTTAATTAAAAACAAGGCGAAAAATAATAAAAAAAATTCACAACCTTAATTAACTATAGGATCTGTCATTGAGGAAGAAAGGAAACTGCTTTTCTTACAAGCTTTTCAC